TGAGGAAGGTAGTTTCATGAGATATCATTACAGGGTTATTGTTTATGAGCAAATGCTGTGAGTTTTTCTCTAGATCGGGGAATTATGAAATTTAGAGAAACTGTCTTGTTGGTGTTTATGATGAGTTTGTTGTCATGAAACCATTTTACTAGCAAAGTTTGCTAAGTGCTTGCAAAGTTTTGTGAGTTACGTTTTTCTAATGATTTTTGTGTTTTTGCTATAATGATTATGTTTGTGTCATCTGCAAAAAAATTATTTTGTTATTCCTTAAAGCCAAATGCATGTCATTTATGTATATTAGGAATAGTATTAGCCCAAGGATGGATCCTTGCGGGACTCCTCAATTTATCATTTGAGGGCAGGAATAGTATGAGGAGATTGTGTTCTCTTTAGTGTGCTGGAGGGCAACTATTTGGCTATGGTTTGACAAATATGATTTCATCCATTCACCTGCAAAGCCTCAAATCCCTAGAATTTCTAATTTTATTAAAGTATGTGATAGTCAATAATGTCAAAAGCTTTTGACAAATCTAAGAAAAGGCCATATTGGAATTTGCTTCTGATTTAGTACGCCATTTAAAAAGGAGAAGATAGGCGTGTCCGTGGATCTATTACTCCTGAAGCCACGTTGTGTATTTGTAAGGACATTATTTGCATTAAGAATCTGTTTGAAAAGCTTGAAATTGAAAAGCTTTTCCATAATTTTTGAAAATCCTGATAACAGATAGGTCTGTAGTTCATTGGATCACAACTATTGCCCTTTTAAACATTGGTTTAATTTTTGCTGTTTTGAATATATCTGGGAATATGCCTGATTTGAGAGAGTAATTGCAGATGTGAGAGAGTGGTTGCATTATACATAGAGCATTGTATTTAATAAGAAAATCTGGAATGTTGTCCATGCCAGCTGAGAATTTATTCTCCATTTGTCCAATGATTTTAAAAATTTCAGAGGGGGGTGGTTTCATATAAAAATTTGGATTTACAATTTGCGTAATATTAGTGTTTGGTTGGTGTGTTTTATTGTTTAGTGTTGAGAGATTACTTATTACTAATTTGTGAAAGGTATTCATTGAATATATCAGCTATTTCTTGTGGGTCTTCTACAGTTTGGTTTTTGCAGTGGAGCTCTATATTTATTTTTTTTTTTTGTTAGTTGGTACTGTAGTCTTTTTAATAATGTCCCACATAGCTATTGTTTTATTACGTGCATTTGCAATGTACTTATCATGTGTCACAATTTTTGCTTGTTTGATTACTTTTTTTAGGATGGGATTATGTTTTGTAATATGAAATGAAGTTTGAGTAACATTTGTTATTTATTAGTATTTTATACATATTACATTTTTTCACATTACACTTTTGATGCCTGTGGTAATCCACGATTTGGTTTTCTTATTTTGGATCTTTTTCAGTTTTTGAGGAAAAATGGCATTGAAAGGTCTTCGACATTTCAGAGGAGTGAGTGACGGAACTGGCGGCTTCGGAGACAACAGGATGAGTCCCTCCAGAGTCGACGCTGGGGATGGCAGTGCTTGCACAGACAGCTGTGTTGTGAAGGCTATGCTAGTCTTGGTGCGTTGCCAAAATATATATTCATGAATGAATTAAACTGATCATTCTGTAAGTTGTCTTTATATTTCATTCCAGTTTTCAGATCTGAGTAAGTTTTGAAATTTTATTTAAGTTTCCTTGGGAATAGTTACGAAGTTCTTTGTAAGTTGTCTATCGTAGTTCATTCTATTCGAGAAACTCGTAAGAAAATCATATAAACTATTGCTATTGGTAATCAGTTTAAAGAAAAAAGACCCAGTATATGAGTATATTCTCTATCTCAAAAATACTTGAAAATTTTGCTCAAGGTTTTTTAAACAAATCAATTTCATGCATTCTTATTCTGTAAAGATAAAATTTCCATATTGAATTTCCAAATCAAACTGAATATTTTGTTGCCATTCCATTTACACACCCACTAAATAAGAAGAAAGTACGTAATAGTTCCATTACACATTTATTCAGTCTTCATTTCCCTACAGAACTAGCAAGTAATACAAAAGGTTTTTGCACATAAGTGCAGAGAAGTACATGACAGTACAGTACATGGGAAAAATAAAATAACTATTATAAGGGCATGGCCAAATCCCAATAATAATAGAAAAATCAGTCTGGATACACATATGGTTAAGTTCATTCATCACCTGCAGAAGTGAGATTCCTTTTGACAAAAGTATCATTCACTCTCAATGCTTTTTAATTGCTGGTTCTTGAGTTTGAATCACTGGCACGATTCGCTCATTCACATCAGCCAGAGGGACCGGTTGCTGGAAATGAGAAAATGCACCTTAGCCTGAAGTAATACAAGCAGGTCATCAAAAAGAAGGAGGGTTCTTGAAAAGGAGAGAAAAATTAAAGGTCATGATATTCACCAAATTAAAAAAATAATGGTATCAAACTTAAAGGGCAAGAGGAAAGAGTGGACAATCCATGGTCCAAGTTAACAAGTTTTCTCTCATTACGAGAAGGCAAATTTTCTGCGATATGAAAAGGTCAGGTAATTGGACTATTTTCTATTCTCCCATTATGTTCTGAAGATAAAAACAACATGATGTTATAGCTCATTTCAAACTTCTGAAATCAACCAAGACATTGACTTATCTTTCATTAGAAAACAACAAACAGAAAACAATGATAAAAATATACCTTCTTTGGACCAAATATTGTAAGTACTCCATCAGTTGACAATGCTGATGTAACAGTATCTGGATCAACATCCTTAGGAAGTTTGTAACGACGCTGAAATTGTCTCGATACAAACCCATGGGCATCTTTGCGTTCCTCATGTTTTCCTTCAACCACAACATAATCATCAACCATTCGAACTGAAAGTTCTTCTGGTTGAAACTGCTGAACATCTAAGTTAGCCTACCCAAAAAACATAAATAAAACTGTCACATATTGAACATAATGAATAAATTATGAGAAAACAACCAAAACTTAAGTGATCTTTCCAACAATACTCACCTTGAATCCATCTTTGGTATTGTGAATGCTTAAAACTTCGTTCTGAGAGTTTAAACCATTTTGAACAGAATTAGAATTTGAGCGCTTCAATAGGTAAGGACAATATCGAACTGCAGGACGCTGGGGAGTATTCAGAGGATCCAATATTTCATTCACAATGAATGGTAACAAGGCCATCTGTGAATTAAAAATTGAATTACATGAGGCAGTACTAGGATTATTAGATACAATAAAATTGAATCACTTTTTTAATAAAAATTTCACTGGCCACACATTCACACACACAAAATAAGAGATCAACATGGCTCAGATTCTGATGACCTAAAAATTCTTTGAAAATGACCTATAAAATGACAAACTTTATAGAAAAATGACAATTTTTTAAAAACATACTCAAAAATGTGTATGATAGTTGTAAACTTTGATGAAATGTTTATTTATTCAATGAGTTTTACACCATCAACTAAAATATATTTATGTGAAATTATATATAAGTATTTATTAAGGAGGTACTGTAAACTTTAGCTCCAATCTTCTAATGGTCAGTTTCGAAAGGTTGAGGAAGTGACCAAAGATCTGAGTAACTTTGAGAGTTCAAAAACCAGACACCACTATAGTAGTGTATTTCATCATAAAGCGATGATGCAATAAAAACTTAAGTTTTGGTGTATCATTGCCAATTCATAAAATATTCACTAACAAAAACATGTAAAGGAAACAAAACGTAAAATTGAAGTAAGCAAATTAAGGAAATAAAGCATAAAATTGACAAGGCTGCTGCAAATGCCCCCAAACAATTACCTAAAAATTGAAAAATGGCAAACAATGACCCAATAACTACATTTCTATCACCTATAAGTCATGATAAACACACATTCACAAGTAAGATGTGTCTAGAAAGCACCAATGAAAAGATGTCATGTTATCAGAACTCAAGCCCTAGAGTAACTATTTGTTTCAACACCTTTGACTTCAGTTCAGCCATTATCACAAAAATTATTTAAAATATTATCATATATTACATTTGATCATTTGCAGTTCTTTTACTTGTCAGTCTCTTCAACATTATGGTGAAACCATTTAAGTTCACTATTCTAACAAACCGTTAACTCAATAAAATGTGTAATTCAAAAATATGGAAAAGTTTAAACTACTTGCGGGAACAGTCTTGGATTTCTATTAATAATTATGACAAGTATATCTAGGCAACTGTCCCCCAATTTGTAAGCGCCTACTACCTCAAAACAGATAATTACAGCTGATTCTGCGCATAGAAATTTTCGGAGGACACAACTCCTTAGCGATTGTTATTCCCTAGAATGTCACTGTCTTGTGTATTGTAATACGTTAACATCAGATTTTGTTGTGGTTGAAATAACACCAGAAAATGTATTTTGACAGATATTTATAAAAGTTTGTGGCCTTAAAAACGAAGATGTACAGTCTGACCCCAAACTGTCACGTACACTGAAGTATGCAAAATTGCATCATTCATGTCAATTGTAATTGACAATAGGCATACCCATTTATATCCCACTTTCTCGAATTAAAAGTACACCGAAATCATTTAGAAGTTAATAACGCACCGGAACTGTTCACTGGAAACAACTCTCTTGTCCTATAATACCTAAATACTATGTTTCTCAGAAAGTTACTTTACGGAGCTAATATTCCAATTCTACACGTACCTTTCCGCGTCAGAAATTCCAAAACACTGTTAAGTTCCACCAACAGCCCGTTTCTTCTCTTAAGAAGTTGGTAACAAACTCCCGGTGCAATTAGCTCGTTGCGGTGCCGGTATTTTATAGCCAGAGATCCACAACACTCTCAATCACGGCCAAATCACCTGCAGATTACTGTGGATTACTGCCAACAGTGCACAATGAAACTGGGTTGGCGCCGGTTATATACCATTTTCGAAGAGTTCCAGCACTGTCCAGTATGGTCTAGAACGCTTCGCGCATGCGCGAAGATCGAGAACGTACGAGAATTTCAGGATGTTACAACAACGTACAAGGGAAAAAAAACTGCTCGCGGGCTCTTCAAAAATAGATTTCGAGTGGTACCTACGGAACCTCATCGAGTAAAATTGACGTATGTCACAATTATGTACAAAATAAAGTAATTAAAATACAATGATGCCTGATTTCGTCTTTGTGCAGTCATGTCGGTTGTATTACATGAGCATTTTCTTTCGTCCAGGAATACTTACCCCCACTCCTAATTAACATTAGTTCAATAAATGATAGCAACAAGCATTTTGACAAAATCTGATAACCAAACATGTGTGTTTCGAGTAATAACACTATTTTGCATCGAAGAACGAGAAATAGTTTCGAGTCGATTGGTACTCCCTCATCAGACTGATGCCCTCGCGGTTCCTTGAAATTGAAACGGATAATTTTTTGGGGGGTGGGGGTACTTTATATGAAACCACAATGAAAGTGAAGCCGGCCTCATTTCCGGTGCACTCTCCGTTCTTCGAAAATTAATTACAAACAACAACACAAATTAACATTGCAAAAGTACAAAATGTACGGTAAAGATTTTTTTTACTTAAAACTCTTTTCTACTTCTTAAGCAGTGTAGAGAAAGTAATATATGCTGCAAACAAAAATTGCAATTTTTTGACAGAAAAACTTAGTGCCAGGTCCTGTTAACGAAATAAATCTTGATCTTGATCCTTCCTATACGTAGTAAATTACTTCCTCTTTGTGTAGTGAGAATCCATGATTTGTGGGTTCTTGTAGATGCGGGATTTCAAATCTTTTATGGGGGGGCAATCTCCCCCCGCATTAGATGGTAAACGTCCCCTTAAACCAAATGGCATATGAGTAGTTACACTATCCGTGTAACATAATATAATTATTTTGAAAGATTTCTTAGCCCCCGTCCCACCGCCCACACCCCTCTACAGTCAGAAAAGTGTTTTCTTATTTTCATTTTTTCGCCAACTAAGCATTATTTTATCTGATTGAAAAAATATGAAAAATAAAGAAATAATGTATACTATAAGAAAACATTTTTTTGATATTTTCTCAGCGTCAAATTTAAACGTAAAGTAAAGAAAACAATTGTTTCTGTCTTAAACCCCTGGAACAATCTCGAAAAAATCTCAAAAGTTCTTCTTAAAATAAGACTTGAATTTTTTCAGATTTTTTCGATTGCTGAGCTGTAGTTATGACACACAAATCAATTTTTACCATTCTAAATCACATTCACTTTGAAAATGGCTGCAACGGTTCTATGCACTTGTTTGAGTGTTCATTATACATTTGTAATGAAAAGTGTTGTTGTACAAGAAAAGAACGAAAAATTTTTGATAATGGTACCGACATTATGATTAAAACAACAGATTAGCTTTTATCGTAACAGAAAAGTGAAGTTACTCTAATAACGTTGAATTCAGAAAAAATATTCAGTGGAGATATGAGGTTCGCTTTTTTCTCAGTGTACAGTTGGCATCAAACTATCATGCATTAGTTACAATTGACTACAAGGATCTGGAAATTAATTCCTTTCTGGAAAAGAATAATTCACCAATGAACCAAAACGAAACACCGATCGGAATATTTTTAGATCTTTCAAAAGCTTTCGACATTATTGACTAGGGCGGCTTCCCACGCCGCGGCAGAAGCGCGGCAGAAGACCCTCCGGCGACGACGGACAAAGGGACCGCAGCAGGTACCTGTTTCCTGCCTCCTTCTGCTGCGGCGTGGGCAAGCGGCCTAACATCTTGCTATCAAAATTGCCTTCTTATGGAATTCGTAGTATCGCCCTAGATTGGATAACCTCGTACCTTAAGCATCGATCTCAAAGAGTAGAAACACCGTACTGGCATGAAAGGACATTATTTACTTATCTTTCCAATTCTTTACCAATTGAATATGGGTCCCCGCAAGGTTCGATCTTAGAACCTATCCTCTTTCTGTTATACGTAAACGATATGCCCTCGACTATTAAAAACGGAAGAACGGTTCTGTTTGCCGATAACACGAATGTTCTTTGCAAAAAAGCAGCAATAGTACTATTTCTATAGTTTCAAATTGGTTTTGTAATAACAAATTAATAGTTAACGAAGGAAAAGCAATTTCAATGCATTTTTGCGTTTCAAATCAGCAATCGCATGTCCATTGAAAATGAGCAAAATGCAATTAGCTGATGTTACAGTAGCAAATTGTCTAGTTTGCTCAATTCAGTCAAATCTCAAATGGAATGTGCCTATAACAGAATTATAGACAAAATTAAGTTCATTATGTTACGCATTCAGAATTCTTTCAAAGTCTGTCAGCCTTCATGCAGCTCGTTGCTTGTATTTTGCAAATGTGCATTCCCGCCTGAGATATGGCATAATATTCCAGGGAAGCTCATCATGTAGTACCCAGACCTTTATATTGAAAAAGAAAATTATTCGAATAATGAAAAAATGCCATCTACTTGATCCCTGCAAGCCTCTCTTTATTGAGCTTGGAATCTTACCATTGCCTTGCCTATTTATTTACGAACCAGTAATATTTGTCAAAACTGACACACTTAACGGCGAGAACATGTTTTCATGCAATACTGATATTTATAATTATAACACACGAAGACATCACGTACATGAAGTGTCTGTATCAACAGCTCACTACCAGGAATCCACATACTCACATGTATATCGTTTTACCAGGACAACGGCCAAAAGTTTTCCGTTTTTCGTCTACGCATCCATAGATTATAAGTTATGCTGGAGAACACATGATTTTTAACGCATCGTGGATCCACAAAACATTGGTTCGTGAAAAGTCACATTTTTCGGCATTTGATTTATTAAAAACGCTAGGAAGTTGAATGGAAAGAATTTATTTAATCATAATATAGGTGTATGTGTCTTGTAATTCTAAACAATGGTACATTATAATAAAATATCCTTTCATACTATTGCATTCGATTTAGATTTTGACAGGTATGGATGGTGCGAATAGTTAGAATTTAGTGCAGATCCCATTTTGTAGTACGTTTTTTTCTAATACACACAAATATGCACATAAAATATCACCCGTAAGCTGTTCTTCAGCGTTTTTTTTCTAACAAGATCATTTTCAATTAGTTCCGAAAATTCGAATTCAAAATCTACAACTACATTTGATTCTTCCCGCGATTTACTTTCCACTGCCATATTTGTGCCCCCTAATTTTTGAAAAGATTAAAACTCCACAAACCAAGTCTAATTTGTATTAACTTTTACTTCTGCAATTTCTCTATTAATCTTTTTATAGGCATATACTTTTAAGAACGACTTTTTTGTATGTTTATGTGAACAAGGTGTTACGTTTAATAAGAATACGTTGTTAGTCACATTCATTTGAAAATAGATATTCGCACGCTTAAGTATGTAACTGTGAGAAGACGAACATAATAAGTAAAATGTGCTTTTGTTTTGTAGCATTACTCACAGTTTGTTTTTATCCATATTCACTTGAAGATCTTCAAGTCACCAAACCACGTGTTTGTAAATTATTATGCATCTTCTGGCGGGATCCGAAAACAAAGCATCAGTTCGCCACTAGAAAACCGAGGTGCGTCGAATGGACACCTTATAGTGGTGCATGGGAAGTGGTCTAACCGTGAGTGACGGAACCGCATATACCTGCAGTTACTCAAATATTACGTAGGGACTAGTTGAATGTGACGTCGCTGACGCTGTGAACTGTTTTAAAAGTATTTTCATGTGTTGAAAATTCACGTGATCCATAGCTTTGTTCAAATAAGTTAATACAGTCTCTAATATGTAGTAGTATTGTAGTAGCTAATAATGTTTTACTCCTTTTCAAAAATTTCCAATCCCCAATGGCCTTGTATGTTATCTCCAAAGGGAATATGTACTGGTAATATTGCAATTTCACAAAATATAAACGCTGTAAAAATACTTACTGGTACAAATGATGCTGAATGGCTAAAATTTAGTACATCTACATTTTGTGCTTATGTGCACATAAAAAATCATCTGTAAACTGCACTTCAGCGTTATTTTCTAATAAGATCATTCTCAATTAGTTCCGAAAATTCTGGCGCAATATCTTAAACAACTACATTTTATTTTCCCCCGGGTTTGCTTAAAACTTCCATATTTTTCACCTACTTTTTGAAGAGATTAAAACCAAGTCAGTCTAATTGTGTTCACTTCTATTTCTGCAATTTATCCCTTTATCGTTTTGTAGGCGATAAACATTTAAAGGTGACTGTTTCGTGGGTTCATGTGAATAAAGTGTTAGTTACGTTTTAATAAGAATACTTTTTTACTCACATTCAATTGGAAAATCGGCATTTGCACGCTTAAGAATGTAAATATGAGAAGTCGAACGTAAATGTGCTTCTGTAGCTTTACTCACAGTTTGGTTTTCTCCTTGTTTACCTGATGTTCAAGTTCAATAAGTTCCAAGGCAATACTGTTCGTAGGTTTTTGCAAATGTATTTTTTAAAATACGTTAATACGGACACAAGTTAAATGAAATCTGCCGCGCGGCGATTCACTTGTCGCATTGAACGTAGCGTACAAAGATCTGTTGGGGTCGCATTGGCTTAATTCCCGACATACTAAGATGGCAGCGTTTACGCGTTTAAACCCGTTTTTGGAAATGTCTTAGAGTCTTCTGGCCGGGTGCGCGAATAAATTGTCAGGAGACCGAGACGCATCAAATGACACCTCATACTTTTCGAATCGTGCACAGGAAGTGGTCTAATCGTGAATGATGGATCCGCGCTCACCCACTTTGGCACACTCACAGTTACTCAAATACTGTAGATGGACCCATTTTTTTATTAAAATATAGAAAAAAGTAAATATTTTATAATATAAATTTGAATATTCGAGAAATGAAATGTCTAATTTTTTTTTTTAATTTGTTCCAACATTGGGGTGTGGGGCAGTGCCCTACCCCCGAATCCCATCTCT